ACTTTATTTTTCATTGCCTGCATTTCAGAAGTTTCTGCCACCCAAATATTTTCAACACTGGATGTTACTTGTTGCAGCCATATATCTATTACTGAAGGAGGATATTTCAAGCAATGAATTGGATATGGCAGATGCAATGTTGCGTTGCTTTGTGAGAGATTTGGGTAAACTGTATCACAACAAGTTCTATACTTACAACATCCATAATTTATTACATGTCACGCTTCTTGTCAAGCGTTGGGGCCCCCTCTGGGCTACAAGTGCCTTTGATTTTGAAAGCTATAATGGCTTCATTACCTCTCATGTGCATGGCACTAAACATCTTGGTAAAGAGTTGTTAAATAATATCAAAATTATTCAGAGCCTAACAGTCCTTGAAAATTCCTTGGAACGACTTGGTAGACCTAAAGTCAAAGTACAACTTGGTGCCGCTGTTGATGTTGAGCTGTTACCATCTGAAAAAAAATTATTAGAAGAAAATTGTATTTCTGACTATTGTGTATATGACCGCATCAAAACAGATTCAGACATCTTCACATCAAGAATGTATGACCAGCATAGGAAGAGAGCCAATAGTTTAGTGGAATTTGATGTGAACAAATTTGGAGAGATTTTACATCTGCTTAGGGATAGAGCTTCAGGTGAAATATTGTGTCTGATCAGTGTTTTCAAAATCAAGCACATTGACATTTTTTTTCTGGAAGACAGTTTCTACCAACTTCGACACTTATTACCTATTGAAGACTCCAACCTCTTGACTCTAGTTCCAGTTTCTAGTATTATCACTAAGGTGATCAAAGCTGGCAACTATCTTTGTTTACGACCTAATCACTATGAAGTTAATCTGTGATATTGATATTTTAGTTTTGACTGTCATGTTATACTGATCTGCCGATATGACTTAAGATTTATTCTTAACTTAAAACAATAAATCTGTGATAGATTTTGGTAAACTTTTTATCTCATCTTAAGTTTTAATTATATAAGTTTCATCAATTGTAATGTAAAGAACTAAAGTTGAAAACATTTTTTATACTTTATTTTCTTAAGTTGTTGTTATACTTTGTGATGTATTGAACATCTAAAGCAAATGATATTTAATCAATTTTGTGGTTTTGCAAAATAAAATTTATTTATAATGCTATTTGCATTACATACTTTCATTCAATCAAGGCCTCGTATCAGATTTGGCATTGCTTCCTCCTGCACCTGGTCCTGGTGGTCCTCTGCTGGGTGGTCTTGGGAATGACGAAGAAGAATATGATTTAGGGGTCCTTGCAACTCGGAATTTCTTGCGAAGTTCTGAAAGAATAAAACCAGATCTTGAATAAGGCACTCAACCATTCCTATCAGAATAAACAATACAACAAGAATCATTTTAAAAACAACAGAAAATCTAACCTTCGAGCCGATTCAACTCTGTGTTTATGACTGCGGCAGTGCGACGAAACATTTCAATGCTTTCAGTCAGTTCCCTGGGAATCACAAGTAAATTCCTCTGGAGTCGACGTATTTCTGACTGTTACCAAAAGTGACAATTTAGTAGCTACTTCGAAAGAAAATGAATTCAAAACATAGCCATATATTTATCTGACATTACTCACGCGTAAAAAAGCAGCTATCTCGTCCATCTCACGAACCTGTCTACTTATTTCCATCTCCATCTTGTACTTCACACTTAATTTTGAAGAAATCTAAATTCCAAATTCTGGTTCCCTATCATGTCACTGATCAACTAATGAACTGGAGCCATGGAGACGCGCGTTGAGTCCATGTGACCATCACAGCCAATCAGAGGCCAGCTCTGCTGAAGTAGCCAGCAGCACACGGACGGAGCTATACCCCGCGCTGCCAAAGTGCGCCAGCACTACTCCTGAACATGACGCCTACCGCCAGAGCCCGTAGGCAACGCGCTTGCTGAGGTGCTAGGCGGGCTGGCCTACCCGCTCGGCGCGCGCGGCTAGCACCGCGCATCGCATCCTTTCGCGTGCGTCGCGCGGCCGTCGTAGGTCGACAACTGGGTTCAGCCTCTCAATATGTGTTACATGCGAGGCTTATGCATGTGCCATACGGCGGTGGAGCTCAATACACATGTGAGGGGTGTGTGCATAGGCGTGTAACCCTTGACCATCATGTTTGTTATGTCCGTACATGGCGCCACACGAAGAAGGAAAACCACCAGACATGTCAAATGTATGTGTCGTTGTGTTGACCATGTGTGGTACCCGTGACCATACATGTGAAATGTGTCCACACACGGTACCGTACAGATAGGGTTGACCAGCACGTATGTCACATAGGTGTGCCCATGCGCCGACCATGTGTGTTACCAATGACCATACATGTGCAATGTATCCACACATGGTGCCACACGGAGAGGGGAGACCAGCACATATGTCACATACGTGTGTCCATGTCCCGACCATGTGTGTTATCCATGGCCATATGTGTGCATTTCTGCCATACGTGTAGAAACGTCCAAGTGCCCATGTGATTGGACGGCCGCCATGTGTCACATACATGGGCAGGCGACATGTATGTTTGCACTTGCATGTAACACGTGTACAACACGCACGGCCAACGCATGTTGCATACATGTGACATGTGCATTGTATGGTGCACATATATGTAACTTACATGACATTCATATGGCACACATAGGACGGTTGTTTCACGGGCAGGACACAGTCAAGTCAAACTAAATAGCTGTTTTGTTGTGTCGTCTGCTCCCCACTCAGCAGCCACTCAGATTGGAAGTCGATGCCTCGATCCTTCGCCTATCTAGTCTTCCCAGCGAAAGAATAGTGGAGCTCAAAAGGCTAACTAGGTAGGTGTCTCGCGTAACAGGCTTCGCGATATCTCACGAAACACTGTTACGCTGCGACGCGCCTGGCATACATCTACCTAGGCCTGCGGCGCTGACACCCGAGTCGGGCAAAAGGCAGAGTCGTAGATAGGCCTTCGGCTCTGAAGGACACAAATTTTACCCCCAGGATTTTGTTTTGACGAGTTGCCGCACCAGGGTCCATCAAATATCTAAGAAACAACATTTAAATGGTTTGGGGTCATTTTCGTGTGGAAATCGCCCTCTGGCGACTGAACGGTTAGAGATAGAGCCAAACGGACAAAATTTTGGTCCATAGGGTTCTACTGTGACGATTAACGTCTTAGAAAGACGTTAAAAAATAAAAAAATAAAAGTAATATTTTGGGTTTTTCGTTGTTGATTTTTTTGGCAGATCAACTTTTCAGCTAGAGGGCTCAAAATCAATACAGTTCTTGCTTTTCATGCTAAAAAGCTACGCTAAAAATTTAGGGTACGTAGCTCAAACCGTTCTCGAGTTATCGTGATTACAGACAAACACACAGACAGACACGAAACTTTTTGACTGGAGTAATAGGCTTCGCTATCGCTCAGCCAACTAGGTAAGTGTACGCCAGACCACGTCTCGCGTAACAGGCTTCGCGCTATCTCACGAAACGCTGTTACGGTGCGACGCGCCTCGCATGCATCTACCTTGGCCTGCGGCGCTGCGACACCCGAGTCGGGCAAAAGGCAGAATCGTACATTGGCCTTCGGCTCCAAAAGTCACAAATTTTTCTCCTCACGGTTTTATTTTGTCGAGTAACCGCACCAGAGACCATCAAATATCTGAACATCAGAAGTTTCATGTTTCATATCCCTAATTTTAGAGTAATAAGTCTTCGACAAATGCTGTGAGTCTGTCAAATTTTGGGGCCGGAAGGCATTGTTCCCGAATACCCAGGGGCAGGGGCGTCGGATCCAGTATTATTGTACCTCGTTACCTGTTCCAGGGAGGGGAAATCACCACCGACGAGGACGGTCGGCACAAGTTGACCGACAAAAGAAATGCTTCCACGCAAACAGAAGCGGTTCGGATCGTGACGTCGGGGACCAACGATGGACAACCTTGACACCCACTCGAATCACTGACATGAAATGATATATCGTGTCGACAAATTTTTATACCTTTTTAATCTGTAACCATTTCTGATTTTTTTTAAATGTGTCTGAAAGGTAGGAAATATCCGAAAAGTTTTAAAACCTACTGCCTCAGCTTAATAATTTAATAAAGCATTCCGGTAAAGCTGAAATGCAGAAGAATGCGGGGAACAAGAAAACGTAAGTCACCATCTTAGAGCATAGCGATTTCCGTTTCTTTGTTCCCCGCATTCTTCTGCATTTCAGCTTTACCGGAATGCTTTATTTTTTATATTTGGCTGTTTGATGTCCCTAACCTCTACATCAATAAACTACAACTAATAATTTTAATGATAATGGACCCTCTGTTGTAATCAGGGCTGCCTGCTGCTGTCCATTCCAAATATCATCCCTATCTATGTCCATTATCAGGCTCAAAAGTGATTTATTCCTCAAGGCAAAAGTGTTGAAAAAGAAAAAAATATATTTTGCAAACAATTTGGGAAATGCGGGAACATACTCTGTTCAGGGGCGAGGCCGGGATGGTGGGAGGGCAGGTATAGCACGGCATCGTAGACCGTACCCTGTAAGCCTCGTCCTGCGTTCAGAATCCCCAAAAAGTGGTGTGCAGAGGGGCAGTGGATCCCACTCAGCGGACGTAACTTTACCCGCACAGGTTTCGGATAAATATTGCCGTGTAGGGGAAGGTTGGGGCAACACGCTAAAGTAGCACTTTTTTCCGAGGGGTCGTCAACTCCCTTCGGCCGTGTACGGAGGAATATATATTACAAGTAATATGTGTAATATCGGTAATATTGATGTAATATTGTGTAATGTCAGTATTATCAAGTAATATCAAGTAATATTATGTAATAGCATGTACTATCAAGTAATATTACGTAATATCAAGTAATATTACG